TCTTTACGATGCGTTTCCTCGGCGTGCCTCGTGTAGAGGAACGATATAAATAGCGTTATCGTGAGTGCTCACACCGCAGCCGATAACGGCGAACGATTTTGCCATCCATCGATGGACGCGCAGCGATTTCTCGCGGGACGACCGTCGAGAACCCGCCTTCCTATTTTTAGCGTCGCGTTCATTAAGAATAATCTAGCCGCGAATAAAAAGATGTAAGTGGAACAGGCTCGATAAACTGGCCGATAAAGATGCCACACGATACGGGCTCTACAAAATGATCCGATTTTATCGCCACGGCATTATTTCAGAATTACAATTTATTTGCCTGGATTAATCCAGAGAGGAGAGAGAGAGAGAGAGAAAAAGTGTGTGTGTATGTGTGTATGTGTGTGTATGTGTGTTTCATACTTCTCAGTAGAGATGTTCAAACAATGATGGCACGTGTTGAAAAAGAAATGCACAAATAAGGAAAAATATACAGTGTTGTTTGTTATTCTCTAGGAAAATAATGAATTTTTTTATTCGTTTGTAAAAATGTTGACTCGTACAGTATGTATTGTACGAGACATTAGCATTGCAAAAGATATCGTACAATCTCATAAATGGCAAGTGCCTGAAAATTCATAATGCTTCAAACAAGTGTAAAAAATATCTTTTTTCAGATTCAAACAAATAAATGCTATGTTCTTCCTCCGAATAATAATATTCGATGGCTGAAACCGCTTCAAATAAAGAACACGATTATTACAAATAACTTTTATTTTCCTCACCCATGGCTGTTAATTTTTTAATTAGCGTTATAGATAGCGGCAACGTCGCGGTGCAGCCGAGCAATCTGAGATCGGGATAGGATGCATCGCTAAGGGAAGAGAATTCCGATAATCGCCGTCTGTAAGGAAATAATTAATCGCGTCTGTAAAATCGCGGGTTGCGCGCGTCGGACGCGAATAGCCGAGATTACGCGGCGGGAGTGGGAGGAAGGGAGAGAGGAGGAGAAGGAGGGACGAGCGCGGCAAGATATCGTCTTTGGTATCGCGGTATCGATCGATACTATCCTGTCTATTATTAGACGAGTAACGGCACACCGATCGTTATTATTATTATGCGAAATGTATTTGTAGCCGACTCACGAACGACGACGACAACGACGATGACGATGAAGCCAGTTCTATTCCAGCCGCGAAAATTATGGCCCGTTCGTTGAAAATACAAGTAGAGATGCTGTTCTAACACAGGACAAAGAAGATGGTATGTAGGGAAGGAAAGACGCGAGATACGCCGGAAAAGAACAGCGAAATCCGATCAGCAAACTAATTCGTTGAACTCCCACGACGGGGTGGACGGAATTAAATCTCGCCGAAGAAAAGCTCGGTGGAAATTGCTTAGTCGCATCACCTCGACGCGCGTTAATAATGAACGGTGTTCGGTCTCGAGGTGTCACGGTAATTTCCCTCCTCTGCGATACGGCAAACACTTTCAATGCACCCGTCGTGCTGCGTGCGGAATTTAACAGTCGCTGCGAATTATTAGCTGCGACGCGCTAAACCGATTAATGCTCGCATACTCGGTCGCTCGTGATTACGATGTATGCATCCTCTTCTTTCCACGCGATCCAACGATTTCCTTCCTCGACCGTGCGCGAACGAAAATGTCCCGCGAGAGAATAAATGAAGAACGCGACCATACGTGAATTATTCAGCAGTGTATTGACCGACCGCGCCGCGAGACCACGACGCTATATTACCTATCTATACCCGGAAATAAATAATGCAGATCGCATGGTGGTTTCCAAACGTGTCTCTCTCTCTCTCTCTTTCCCCGCCGGTGTACTAAACCTTAAAAATAAACGATTCTTTGCCGGAACAGTCGTGGCAAGGATTCGGCCCACATCGATTTTCAATCAACCGCCTTTTCCTCTGGAAAGGAATGAGCGGATTAATTATGCACCGGGCCGTCTAATTTCAGCGCGATGGCTATTCGTCGTCGCTGACTGACTGCACGATGACAAACTAGATAAAAATCGAATTCAAGCAGAATCGTCGCGATAAATTTAATCTCGCCGTGGCCTAACGCGATTCGATACAACGTGTCAATACTAGTATCCATCACCTTTTTATACTCGTATCAGCCAAATTTCATCGTTGCGGACTTTTATAGATAATTTTAGAAATATAAAACTCACGAAGATAAAGCAGTAATCTCTTTTATTAATATAGTTTATGGATAAACGGGGACCGCATTATTTTTTGAACAGTGAAAAGTTCGTTCTAAAAAAAAAATTTTTTTTTGTTTTGTTTTAGAGATAAAGAAAAAGCCCTGGCGATTAGCCACTCAGCTATCGCGATATCAAACTGTCTAATTCACAATTCTTAATCATTGTGTGCAGTGTGTAAATGTGATAATGTATTTGAGTATGTATGGCCACAGTGTGTGAGCTCAGGTTCGTGGGTTTGCTAAGCCCAAATGATTGTGCGGTTCAGCCATTCTTAAATTTTCTCAAAAATTTAATGTCAATGAACATATTACGACATCTGTCGGTTAAAAATAATATTGTTATTAAAAGTGTAGTAAAGAAAAATTTTCAAATAATTTCGTCCATAAAATTGAAAATAATTTCTATGTAAATAAGCGGAATTCTACAGAAACATGAGAGCAAAAACAACAGAAAAGATAATATATGTACAATAGATAAAATTAAATAGTTAATTAAACTAGCGTGCAAAAATAGAAAAATTCTAGGAAGCGAAGATAGCGTAAGGAAAATACGCGAATGCGTTGCGATTGGCAAGGAAATTCAGCGCAAAAAGAGACGGAGACGCGTTTACGAGTGGCGCAACGCGCAAACAGCCTCGAAAACGTTAAGAACATTAATGCGAGGCAGACAATCGTAAAACGCGGCGGCCCAAATCTTTCCTCGCCGTAAATGCGCGTGTACGAGTTCACAAGAGAGATCTCTAGCGATTATTCGAGTCAGCAGGATGCGCCTGCCTTCGGGTTGCCGTTACATCGTCGTTTACACACGCGCCCGCGCACACACAAATGCGTTGCGGGCGTAACGCGCAACGTAACCGCGCGCCAATATGCGCGCATGCATAATGCCAAGCATAACCGAGTAGTTTATTTATAACGCGGCGCGGAAATACACCCGTGGCTTGTGCCTTTATTGTAAAACGCCGTTGTGTAACGATGTTGTGTAACGTAATTGCACGATAGTACAGCGACGCGTATGCACTTGTTCCATCCCCCTGTTCCTCCTTCCCATCCCCCTTGTCCTCCTCCTCCTGCCTACCACTTAGAATTCGCGATACCTGGCCGAGCTCCGCGACGTCGGAATTAGCGTAAGCGACAGGAAACGTCAATTTTCAGCGTAACGTCGAAACGCCCCCGTCTACTCGGAATCGCGACGTTTTTATGCGACTGTTGACAGTTTCCGCGCGCAGTGACTTTGATTTACGATACAACGTGACGCTCGAATCAATTTCATCGGATTGCTTCGGTTGGCCCGCAACTTCGTTCTCCGCGACTCGTAAATAAACCGCATGCGTATTATCAATGCGGCAGAGCTGCGCAATGAATTTCATATAATTGCGCTCGCAGCGGTTGTAAAGTGAACGATGTGACACTCGAGTGTTGCATATCGTCGTTGCACGTTGTTGCAGAACGTGACTAGATACTGACGACGACATGAAATACACTGAAATCAGAGCATACTGGAATTCTTTAAAAATAAATATTTGGAAAAATAATAGTGTTACTTGAAAATTTAATTAAAATACAGAGAAACGTGCATTAAAAATTGCTATAAATATTTTCGAAAGATTATAGCATTACTTGCGAGTTCAAATAAAAAAAAAAACAAGTTAAATCTCTTTTTCTTTTTTTCTCCCCTCCCCCCTCCCCCCTCTCTCTCTTTTGTTTATGAGTGTTTTTTAAAAATAATTATATAAACAATTATACATTTATAAATAGAAGAAATCTAATCTCGATAAGATACGATCGAAGCATTCAATTTAAAACACGTCAAGATAATTATTCTATATATAAACTAGTGAGACTCAAGTGAGACTTATATGTTGTGAATCGGATCGGATTTTTAAGTACACATTGAGTTTGATCCCATCTTTATACCGAGTGCACTCGAAGATACTCTTGAAGATCAAATGCATCTCGCCTAAATGATCGCCTACGCCCGAGTTTTCGAAAATGGCACGAAGCAGATCCGATTCCTTTTTACTCATAGGAGCCCCTCGAGCCGGGTGCCTCTCGAAACGTCAGCCAAGCCGGGTATTTACGATACTGGGACGCGAATGTCTCTAATTATAGATCGTTGCAACATCCTCTCTCGGTATATGCACTGTGCACTCTGCCGCGTAGTGGGTGTAGTCCGGCACGCCATAAATTGATGGGGACACGAGACAATCATCTGTCTTTCTCTTGTCGGCTCGTACTGGCAAACAACAATTATTCGCCGGTTCAATTTCGCACACAAACTTGTTGCTAAATGGATTTAACCACCGCGGAATTATTTTACAGTAAACGTATCTTTAATCGATACTATCTAGAGAATATCTTCATCGCGACGTAATTATTATTTGAAGCCAATAATCCATGACTTCATTACCTTCACGGGTTATTTTCGACGAAAGTTGTAAATTCATATATTCTATCGACTACGTAAATATTAATTTAAAACGATATTTCCGATATTCATAAAAGTAATTTTCAAATAAATATTTGGCAATAACCAAATTTGACTTTTAATAATTATTCTTTAATTTAGCCAATAAGTATTTTTTTTGTGGAAAGAGGATTATTTTCAAAAAGTCGAGATACTAATAATTTTTCAAGTTACGAAAAGTTAAAAAAAATTTTTTTTTTTATAATTTTAAGATTCGGATATATTTATAAATAGAGCATTCCGTAATTCTGTGACACCTGTATAGTCGCCGATCTTCAACTATAACGTCAATTGTCTTTCGCGCCTGTCGTTCTGCAGAAAGATGGCTACACTTTTGAGAAAAAAATATCTTTCACTACGACCGAAGCGCAGTTTTCATCGGCAGCAATCCAGCGGAATTTACTCGTGGCACAACCGTGGCATCGGATGGAAGCACGGACAAAGGATTTTGAGGAACAGTCTGGGCGTGTTGGCGACCGCGGGTGTCACCTGCGGTGCTCTTCTCTATCTCCTGGACCGTTCGGTCCAGGCGATAGGTCACGTTGCGCATCCGCCCAGCTATCCCTGGGATTTCAACGGGTATCTCGCTTCCCTGGATCACTCGGCCGTGCGGCGGGGTTGGCAGGTCTACAAAAGCGTGTGCTACACGTGCCACAGTCTGCGCTACATGCGATTCATGGATCTGATCGACGTGTCGCATACGGCGGACGAAGTCAAGGCCATTGCCGCCGAGTACGAGGTAGATGGTAGGCCTGAATTAATCGTATGCCGGATTCGCGATCTCGCTCTCGGCGTAGGCGTCTCGCCGCCTCCTTTTCGCCGCTCGCGTAATTGACTTCGGCTCCGCTCGGCCTCTGCACGACGACGTGTAATTCAATTACGAGCTGGCTCGCCGGGAACGTTACCCGTCCACGCAAAAATGAGATTAGCCACTACTTTGTGTAACGCAACATTTATGTTTCTGTCTGATGTTATAGTAAATTTATCTTCATGAAGCTAAGTAGTCGTAGAGAAGATTTAATTATTCACGAAATTAATAAAATATTTCAGAAGTTTCGCCAAATTTTTTAATATAAAAACCATAAGCAAAAAAAATTACAAGAAATATAAAAGCAAATTTTTCTCGTTCACATATCATCGAAATAATATATTCCAAATAATTTTTAAAATATTTTGTAACATTTTATTCTTTTTAAGACTCGTTGCATTGCAGAAGTTAAATGTGCTCTCTACAGATAAATTATTATTTCGCGATATATATATATATATATATAAAATGTTACGGGTAGCATAAAATTATTTGGTAAAGTTAATCAATGGATGAATATTTTATGTATTATCAGATTAATGTGCTGCGCGTGCAAATTTATCCCGAGAAAATTGATAATTTGTAATCTAAAAATATCAAATATAATTTCTACTTATCTCTTCGCCTTTTATATAACGTGTATATTAATAATAATTAATATATAAATAATTATATTTTTAATCTTGTTGATTAAATATGATTAAATATCCACATCTTGAAATTTGATAGATTTTTTAAAATACAAAAGTTTGAATTAATTTTTTTCACAGAGTTCCAACTTCATTGAATAATATATTGTATTTGAATATATAGATTCAAGATGGACCGGATGAGGAAGGAAATTACTACAAGAGACCCGGAAAATTCTCAGATTTATTGCCGCCTCCTTTTCCGAATGACGAAGCGGCCAAAGCAGCAAACTCGGGTTTGTACCCACCGGATCTGACCCATATTATTCTCGCTAGGCAAAACAGTAAAAATTACCTATTTTCCTTCCTGACGGGATGGATGGAACCGCCGGCGGGTGTATCTTTAACCGACCAGCAACATTTCAATGTCTATTTTCCGGGCGGCGTAACTGGAATGCCGCAGGTGAGATAGCAAAACACTAGTTAACGGAAGAAGTGACTAGAAGAAAAATACTAATAATGGCCTGGCACAGTCTGATATTTATGAAATTAATTCCCTTTCGCAAATTTGATATAACGAATTATAAACGTAATGCCGATTACATTTAGCTTTAATATTAATACATTTTGTTTAACAGTAGTCACAACGTGCTACAATATAGATTCATGTTTAGATGTTAAGTGAGGGAACAGTGGAGTACGATGACGGCACACCGTCAACGACGTCGCAAATGGCGAAAGACTTGGTCGAGTTTTTAACTTGGACATCTTCGCAAAATTTTGACACACGAAAGCAAATGTTCATTAAAGCAATGGGAATCTGTATTATATTGCTGGCTTCGATTGTTCACTATTTGAGATACAACTGGTCGTATATGAGGAGCAGGCAAATCGCATACGTGCCCAAAAGAAAATATTAAAAACCAAATTAAGTTTTTAATAGAAATCTAAACAAAAATTATTCCCCAATATAACAAAGAAAATGTGTAAAATAGGTAAATAGTATCATTTCGACAGTGTATTTCAAGTGAGAAAAAATTTGAAATTGTAATTAACGACAATTATTTTTGCAGGTCTTCCCAACATGAATTGATCGAATGCTTGAACGAAAGATAGATGATAAGAATTGCACAGTAGAGAGATAAAAACTAATTTTTCGGAAATTCAATTGACTTTTATATGTGCATACAATCAGTAAACGAGAAGTAGCAGTTGATTGTAAACGTAGCAGAATTATAAAAATATGAAATAAAATTTTGTTCTAATTTAAGAAGCACAAAGTCATCGACATATTTTTTATTACAAAAATCTTGATTTGATATAAAAATAGAAACATTAAATTAAATATTAATTTTTTTATCGAATTTTCAGACTATTTTTTTAATTTGATTTAAAAGTAGAAGCAATAAATTGAACTGTGTCAATAATATGTATATTGAAGCAGCTTTTAACTCGACGCGATGGTGCTATGATTTATAATCCTTATTTAGAACCGAGCACGCGCCCACGTAGCTTTACAAAGTTGCATCAGAGAGTGGATCTGTAGATGCACATATAAAAACATAGTCTATAAATACGGACGATTTCGGACGAACGAATTCTGCGTCCCCATCTGATGTCGCTGCAAATCGGTCGCGGAATAGCACACGCGCAAAATCGTACACAAAGAACACGGATGATCCAGCGACTGAATATACACAGCGGCATGCGCTGGCGTCGATAATCGTTTCGCAATGCGCGGCCTTGACGATTGCCTGTACAGCCTGCCGATCGGCCGGTCTAAAAATAGGAGGAGGCTCGCGCACACGGGCAACAACATTAATGTCGTCTCTCACACGAGTCGTTAACTCCGGAATGACCGGTGGTTGCTTGCAAATCCATCTATCTCATCCGTAATAACACTCCGCTGCTCTCTCGCGACACTTGATCGCCTATTTTTAGGTCATTGCGTACGTAACTACTTTTTTTCCTCCCACCGGCTGCTTCTCGATTCGATGATCGATGATAGCGAAATAGAAAGTCGAAAATAATATCGGGCGTTTCGACGGGGGGCTATATATAGCGGATGATGCGTCAGTGCAGCAACAAGTGAGGCCCGCGAACGGTGGGGGGGACAGGGAGTGGCAGGATAAATCGAAAATATACGGAACGATGAATGAAACCTCCGCATTGACGTCGTCAAGACGTGCCAAGCGATGTCGAGATTATCCAACTCGGAGCGAGACTGTTTTTGAATGCATCTCCGGAGACTGCGGCGACGGGGTGAGAAGGGACGGGCGAGGGCTGAGAGATACACGCGGTAGATATCTCAAAATATCATCGATCGCTCCGGGGAATTTACTATACTCGACGTAATGTGACGTCGGCACATCGCGCGCGCACGTGTGAGAAACAAGGTGCGAGTAGAAATTGGCGTAATTTCGGCAAAAATAACATTTCAAGCGACGTAGATACGTTAGTCGAGATAAAAGCACGATATTAAAGACGTGAGTAAACAATTCAACCGATTTGTCATTTGCAGTCAACTCGCACCGCATTCGTCCGAATAAAATTAGTGTAATGCGGCGTTCAGCATAATAATAAATAATAAATAATAACCAAATTCTGAACTTAAATTTTGAATAAAAAAAATTATTATTTGAATATTTTAAATATTATATACTTTCGACCGAAATAAGCGCACGTGTATGCTAATCGTGTAAAATATATTTCCTTACGAAAAAAAGAATCCTTATGAGGAAACTGAATAATTCGTACGTCGGATCGTGTGGTCAGTTATGCAAATGACACATTTCGAGGTTAACTGATTGAAACAGGCAATGGTTATTTTTACAGCAAATTTGGCACGCGCGTGCGAGTTTAAACACGTGTAACTTACTACGCGCCGCGTTTATTTCGAGAGATGAAATACAGTTTTTTTTTCTAAAAATGAATAAAATATACAGTCAACTATGTATGAAAGATATGTCAAAATATCTCTTTGGTAGTAAAGGCCACAACCGTTCAAAAATAAAGTATACCTATGTATTACGAGTCACTAAAGTTACGAACAAGTATCGACAAAAATAAATATATGAAATTCTTTTCAAATAGCATCTGTTTAAAAAATACTTCTGTAAATATTACCAAAATTGGTATATTTAATGATAATTTTTCGAACTTCTATAATAAAGTCGCTTCTATAAATAAGTCGATTAACAGTATAAAGCTATAAACGCATTTAATAGTGTTTGAACGATCATTTTACCGTGTTCGTTCGTTTCAGCATGTGGCAAGTGCACAAATATATTGAGGTGCGCGCAAAACGCACGTGGACAAACGCTGATCTGCTTTTGAATGAAACTTCCGTATTGACGTCATACAGACGCGTCCCGCCGAACATCGCCCATCGTTATCTAAGTGAACGCTTGTTTTGCGAAATCGCGCGGCATTTCATACGCGGTGCCAGACGCCCCCCCAACAAACTTCGAACCCGGAGAGGCTTACGTCGAGCTCTCAGAATAGTGAATCCCGGTCAGAAATAACTTTGCACTTTCGGTAATATGGCCATATGGCCGAGATGAAAATACGCTCGCGAAACGTCGAAATCCGTTTTTACGTGTGTGTAAAGTTGACGTATCATTTCGTGAAAACTCAAACTGTGAGAGTTCTGGGTTTATTTTTAATTTTTCTAAATAGTTAAATAGCACTTCAAAAATAAAATAGTGATCGATAAAATTCGATCGATAGTTTTGACCGATAAAAAAGAGAAAATTCAAGACTAAACTTGGATACCAGATTGACAATCTCAATTTGTCTTGCGAGAATTTTAAGAGTTCAAAGTTTCTATGTAGGTTCTTTAGATTTTGCATTTAAAAAATATCAATTATTATAAGGAGAAAAAATATTATGAACATAGCAACATAAAAAATGTATGTACAGATTTTCAAGAATTTTATATATTGTATCATATTCATATATTAATTCTATAATAATATTAATATTTTATAAAATTTCAATAAATAAATAGTATTAAAATATTTGTTACAGAATTTGTATCGTTCGAGAAAATCATGTCTATGAATATATATTCAAGTGAAAACGTTGATAGATTTACAATCGATAAAAACACGAAAATATGGAAAATAAAGTCGGAATCATCAATACTTCATAAATTTCCACGAAATCAACTTCGTACACATCATATATCTTTCTTAGGTGTTTAACATTAAGAATGATTCGATTCTGCTAAATCTCCGATTGAAATAGTCCCGTCAAAATAGACTCTTCGTGTAAGCTAAGCAAGGAGTAAAATCGTATTTGCTTTAACCGTCAAGTATTGACATGGATTTTAATGATGTTTGATCACATTCCCATCATTTCCCGTTATACATGATAAAGTATGAAAGCTTAAAGCGCAAAAAATTCCGCACTATCAACCATTTATCACTCGATTTAAATTTTCGCACAAAGATTGTCATTCACCAAAGAATTTAAGGTCAATTTATTTTATAATAAATGTATTATATAAATAAATGTGCGGCAAAACATTAAGACAAAACATAAATTTACTAATAAATGCAATAAGAAAACGAATCATATTCTCTCTCACTCTTTCTCTCCGGCTAGACAAAATATTTGATTAAGTGAGTTTCTGTTGTATTTAATACGCCTTGCTCTTGAGGAAATTCACTTGCCGGTTAAATTTGACTCGAGCGTGTACTTGACGATCTTAAGTGAGTCTTCCGGGGCGTCGTCAGTTACTATCGAAGAAAATCTTGGCACTTTCAATCGCACCTTCGTCAACACTTAGGAGCTTATACGAGCGTTGCAATTTTGCGAAACCACGCCGATTATCCGACCGTCTCTCATTTCCGCGCGCCGACACAGCCGCTCGTTAAAATAGAAAATCACGCTATCCTCTCTCTCCCTTTTCCTACTTTTTTTCTTTTTCACCTACCGCCACGTTTACCTTCATATATGTATTGAAGAACCGACATTTTACGGTAAGTATGAATTAGTCTACATAGTTAGTTTAATAAGCCAGTAAAACAAGTGTCGCTTGAAGCAAAGTGGAACTTATTAAAATCTCGTTTCTAAACGTTTATTCAGATTGAGCTCTCCTCCTTAAACGTGTACATCGTTGCAAAAGAATGTCGCTTTTCTGTCTATGTATAGAATAAAAATAAGAGGTAACATAAGCACATTTTTTTAAACAAATCTCTATTAATGGTATAAAAATCTGCAAAATTTATCATATCAAATAATTTACTGTATAAAGCAAATGAAGTTTTCCGCATTTGCACGATTCAGAAACTAAGCTTTTTCAAAGCTGTTACCAAAAAATATGTACTGACATTTTACATTTATACTTGTGTTTGTATTTTATATATATATTTATTTCAATAATAAAGATGAAGGCCAGTTCGCAATTAGTTTTTGCGAGTTCAATTTATTTTGTTAGAAATGTAGATTATCTATATTTTCTATCAAACAAATTGAACTACATTCGCAAAAACCAGCGGTGAACTAGCTGAAACTGGCCTTCACCTATATTATTTATTATAACATAGTTATATTATTATTAAATTAATCAAATTCAAAGAATTGAACAAATCTAAAACAAAAGCTACGGAGTCAACGTAAGCTGTGTGTGTTCGTTATAAGTATATGTAGAAATATTTACAAATGTTTCGGTCAATTATAAAATCATCAGATATCAGATATCAGATTCAGTGTAAATACCAACCAAAATAAATCAGAATTAAAAAGTAACGGATAAATTCCACGCGACGGTACAATAAATGAAAACGGAGATACAAATTAACAAAAGATAAGCTAGCAGTTTAGCGTTAACATACTCTTTTGTTATTCTTTTGTTGTTTATGATTTGTTATTGATTGTTAATTTGCATTTCAAATTTATTTATTGTATCATCACA